TTAAGTTGACATTTTTGCCCAACATTTTAATGTTTTTTTTTTTTTACTGGGTGAATGTGATGACTACTTTTCTCTGTGATCTGTTATGAAATAAGACCCCTTTAGGAAAATGGGCACCATCAGTGACCTGGCTGTGGTCAGCAGAAAACAGAACAATAACCAAGAAGGCCAGAAACTCCATAATATCTTCTCAGCATTTTTGAAGACAAGAGTTCAAGTGTCACTTAGAGCCAAGAAAGCCCATAATCCTGTCAAGAGTTTAGAAAACAAAAGCAAAGGTAATCTAACAATGAACAGCATTTCCGGTCCCAAGCTTTTCCTAGCGCCAGCCCGCCCCACCACACCCACACATCCACATCAGCATTTGCTATTCTTAGGTGGCCTAGAAAGTGAGTAGGGCCTTCGTGGGCATACGCACGGAACAGGTGCTGCGATCCGGCCGGACAGAGGTTTAGTTTGTTTAAGTCATTTATGGAATCCACAACATAAAGCTTTCCATCTTCGTGAATGCCACGAGAGCCAGTGTCCTGGGAAGAGCGATTCATTGTGTCTGAGAGAAAACACAAGAAACACAAAGGCTTGGGCTGGGAGCTCACCTGCACGAGAGCTACCCAGCCGCTGCCGTTGGAGTCCATTCCCACGCATAGCGACCCCCACTGGGGTTCCAAGGCTGTAAATCTTGATGAAAGTAGATTGCCTCGTCTTCCTCCCGGAGGAGCAGCTGAGTTTAAATGCGCTGACCTTCCGGTTAGCAGCCTGACCCACTGCACACCACAGCTCCTTGCACTAGAGCCACAGCTAGCAGGAAGCTGCAAGCATATAAAGTACCGCCTACAAATATTATTTTCAACCTAAGTGTTTCGACTGGAAGAAATTTTCTCCCTTTATGGACAACTCTGTGACTTGTCTTTTTGCTTTGCTTGCTAGACATCTGAGTCAAATGTGTGGTCCAGTTTTAAGAACTGTCCCAGTTGCGGCGTAGTAGATTCTGACGCATGGAGACCCCGTGTGTCAGAGTAGAACTGTGCTCTGCACGGTTTTCAATGGCTGATTTTTCAGTCGATCACCAGGTTTCTCTTCCGAGGTCCTCTGGGTAGACTCGCTTTCCAACCTTTCATTAGCAGTCAAATGCGTTAACCATTGGCATCAACCATTTATGCCCTGCTTATCTGTATAAGGTCTTTCCTCTTCCCCATATTTCTCAACTCTGTGTTTGCTCCTGGGCTGGATTTTTTATTTTGTAATTTATTATTTTTTTTATTTTATTACATTCTTTATATTTTGGTGAGATGCCTCAAAGCTTTAGTACAAGAAGACTATGTCTAGATTTGTTGTTGTTGTTGTTGTTATGTGCCATCGAGTCAAACCTGACTCATAGCGACCCCTCCTTGGGTTTCCGAGGCAGTGTCACTACGGAAGTAGGATTGCCCAACCTTCCTTCCGAGGAGTGGCTGGTGGGTTTCAACCGCCAACCGTCTGGTTAGCAGGCAAGTGTCTTAGCCACTATGCTACCAGAGCTCCCATGTCTACATTTAGAAACGAAAAAAGAAAGCCACCGCCTTGGAGTCAATTCCCACTCATAGCGACCCCTGTTGTTCCAAGGTTGTAAATCTTTATGGAAGCAGACGTCCTCGTCTTTCTCCCACAGAGCAGCTAGTTAGTTCAAACTGCTGACCTTTTGGTTAGCAGCCAAATGCCTTAACCACAGCACCACCAGAACTCCTTGTATAAACACATAGAAAGATAAAAGTCAGCAAGTGAAGCTGGGACCAGATAGATTCTGAAAGAAAATGTTACTTTGAATCTAGTTGCATGAGGCTTTAATAAAACCGTGTTTTTTATTTTCCCCTCCAATTGACATATGACTTCTTACCCTAAAATGTCTGCTTTAGCTGTTAGCTGTTAGCTGCTAGCTGTGAATCCCCAAGCAAGCGTAGATACTGTAGAGAAATCCCGCAGCGGCTTGGAGTCTAGACCCCAGGACCTGAGGGCTCTTCCTCCGGAGTGTCCCTTAGACTGAGGTCATGTATTTAAATACCGAGGGTTGTGTTTTACAGTCATAATCTCCAGTGGCACCTCAAATGCAAGCCACACTGAAATGCCTGATGGATTAAAAGGGTCTCTTGGTGGCATGGTGCCTAAGGCATTTGACTGCTAACCAGAAGGCTGGTGGTTCAAACCCACCAGCCTCTTCTCGGAAGGAAGGTTAGGCAATCTACTTCGAGATACCTCCTTGGAAACCTAAGGAAGAGTCACTATGAGTGGAATCAGACTCAAGGGCAGTGAGTTTGGTTTGTTTGTTTGTTTTTCCTAGAAAACAGAGAACTGGTGGCCTTTTAATTATGTGGAAAAGAGGCCCTAGGAAAGCAAATTCCAATTAATATAAAATTTCTTTTGCTTATCTTATCTCTTTCTCAGATTTCAAAAAATGAGTCTCACAGTGACACTGGGTGTTTGATGGGAAAAGAATTTGAGACATACTCTAGTCCCACAGCACTGTTTTCCCAATGAGGAATCTGAACGCCTGAGATCGTAGCTTCAGTGAGCGGCTGAGCTGAAACCAGGCTGCTCGGTTCAGAGCTCGTGGCATTTCCTGTCGTGTTGTCCTTCTTCTCCAAATCCCTTCCTAGGCCTCATTCCAGACTCAGCTCAAGCATGACCTCCTCTAAGAAGAGAAAACTGACCTCTGCCTCCTCAGTGTCCTTAGTGCGTCCTGTGCACTTTCATCAGAGCATTTATATTTTATTGCATTTATTTGTTTACATCTTTGAGTTCCCCAATACCCTGAAAAAAGAGCCCTCGTGGCACAAACGGTTAAGCACTCAGCCATTAACTGCAAGGCTGAAAGATTGAACCCACTGGGCAGCTCCACAGGAGAGAGACCTGGTGACCTGCTCTGGTAAGATTACAGCTGAGAAGGTTACCCCGCGTTGAAGTGCTTCTCTGTCACCTGGGCTCACGGTGCATGGAAATCAACCTGGTGGCACCTGGCAGCACCAACACGCTGCACACTCCTGAGAGCAAGGCCCAGTCCTTGTCTTCAAATGCCCAGTGCCTGGTTTACAAGCCAGTAGCTTATGCTAAGTTAGAACACTCAAAACTATTTTATTTGCATGGAATTTAAACCAATTTTTAAAAGAATTTGAGTCAGTGAATAATAATTAAAAAAAAAAAAAAAACTCACTGCTGTAGAGTCGGTCCCGACTCATAGCGACCCCTCCTTCGGTTTCCAAGGCAGTATCTCTACAGAAGTAGATTGCCCCATCTTCCTTCTGAGGAGTGGCTGATGGGTTTGAACCACCAGCCTTCTGGTTAACAGTCAAATGCCTTAGGCACTGCGCCACCAGAGCTCCTTAATAAGTATTGTCATTGTTGTTGTTGTTATGTGCCGTTGAGCCGGACCTGAATCATAGTGACCTCTCCTTGGGTTTCTGAGGCAGTATCACTACAGAAGTAGATTGCCCCATTTTCCTTCCGAGGAGTGGCTGGTGGGTTTGAACCAGACTTCTGGTTAGCAATCAAGTGCCTTAGGCACTATGCTAAGTACACTAACTAAAATAAAATAGAAAGCAAAAGCGCACCTTGTGATGCCAACTTAGAATCTATCAAAGTCAGTGCTATAAACTTTGCTCCTAGACGTGGCAACACATGTTTACTTCCTGTTGCCATTTTTTTAGTACTTTTCATACACAGCTGCAGTGCAGATTCAAGAGAAAAGTAATCTGAACTAGAAGAATCTAAATTCAGAGGGATAAATTAGTCCACCTATAGAGATCTGGTGGCATAGTGCCTAAGGCACTTGACCACTATCCAGAAGGCTGACGGTTCAAACCCACCAGCCACTCCTCAGAAGGAAGGTTGGGCAATCTACTTTCGTAGTGATACTGCCTCGGAAACCCAAGGAGGTGTCGCTATGATTCGGGTCCGACTCGATGGCACATAACAACAACAACAACATAGAAAAACTGGGGGAAAAACTTCAGTCATTTTACTGAACAGTTTAAACGTCAATCTAAAATTAAAAAGTAGCCATTTCACCATAATATCCAAACCTACTACTACTTGTAAAAAAAAAAAAAAAAAAAAATAGGTGCTTCCAGAACCGAACCTACAAAAAACAGTGAGTTTGAAAATTCTTAGACCAACTAAATATTTTTCTTTAATCAGAGTTAAAACTAAAAAGTGTATTTCAGTTACCCTGAAATTTGATTTACATGAATGTACAATTCCCTGAGTGTTTAGGTAAGGTTCTACTATAGCATCTTAGATACTGGATTACTGAGTTCCAAATATACTTCATGGAGAGTTTCTAAAGGAATCACTTGAAGTGACCAAAAAAAAAAAAAAAAAGTAAAAGGGAACCAGTCAGCAGCAGATTAGAAGGACCTCGGGATGATTGCAGTCCTAATATTTTACAGATAAAACCAAGGCCCAAAAGTGTTATCACCGATTTCTAAGCTTTTCTTCTCTTAAGTATTTTGTCATGTCCTTATGCTTTATGATCCCCAATCTAGTATCTGTCCTGCGTTGTAGGCTGTGTGTCACATCACAGGAGCAGATTCCAAACGCAGCTTCTATTTTAGGCTTGGTGACTGAGCCTGGTTCATTTGGGGATGTCTGACTTAATAGTCTTGAGCCTTTGCTTCCCCTTTAAGAACATTAACTACACACTGAGGCTCAATCAGTGTTTACACAGAGAGGACTGTCTAGACAATCATAGCTACAGAAACTGACTTAAGAGCAGCCCAGTTAATAAATCTCCAAATTACGGGCCTTGCTACCCTCTTGGGCAACTCCATGTCCCATCAAAGCCGAAAGAACCAAGACAACAGTCTAGAGCAGCTGGAAGGGCTCTGAAAGTCTTCTTTGGGGTGAAGTCCCAGTGTAAATAGATCCTAGTTCAATACATTTTTTAATGAACTGCAACCTGCAAAGGGAAACTAAAGACCTAGCAGAGAAAACTGACTTGGTTGTGGTTCATGGTCTCCAATAGCCAGCGAATGACTTCTGGCAAACGGATACAAGATCACACGGCTGTCCTCCTGGGACCACAGTTGTCTGACTCCCAGTTGTTGCTATGTTTGGCATCTCCATATGAGGACATCTGGGAACAGCTAGCTGGCTAGAGAAGCCAGTGTTACTCCCAATTCTGCAGCACAGTCACTCGACCCTCCTTCCCACCCTATTGTGACAATCTGTTCTTTAGCTAAAACTGACCGAGGCAGCATCCTTGCCACAGAACCTTTGTCAATACTTGGAGCTGAAATAGGTAAGTAATTTCATTTTCTTCCTGTTTAGATCAATGCTAATGACTGATTCTTTTGGTCTATTCTTGTTGACTACCTGTGAGTAAATATTCTGACAAATAAAGAAAATTGTCCAGGAAAAATTGCTTTGCTCTTTATTTTTTCCCACAGGGGCTTGATGCCAAATCACAGAATTAACTCCCATCGGTACTGCTTGGCACAAAATATCAATTTGTATAACAGGGTTTAATTCAAAGCTAATAGGAAGCTTTGCTGAGTGAATCATGGTAATTTGGTCT